TCACGGACAAACTCAGTAGAGTCTGGGGGGTCGTACGGAGACGTTTGTACTGTTCCCCAGAGGCTATTGTGTTGGAAAAATCTCTCATTTGTCTTTCTCGTCGTGCGGTTGGTTCTAAATGCTGATTGAATTCTACTCTGTCTTTCGCAGATGGCGAGAACACGCGCTTCCTCATCTACCGATCAGCAGTCCGAGCCCCAGACAGCTCCCGCTAGGGGCAGAGGACGTGGCCATGCTAGGGGCCGAGGTAGGGGCAGGGCTCAACCCCAGAAGCAGCACCAGTGGCGGAGCCCCAGGTTGACCTTGAGGAGGAGGTTCCGACCCCAGCTGCAGCGGTTCCGGTGGGCCCAGCTCAGGTCCTAGAGGGGTTTATTGCTACCCCAGTCTTTCAGGATGCTTTGGTCCGGTTGGTGGGCTTCATGGAGAGTGTCACCCGAGCAGGATTACTTCCTGTAGCACCAGCCACTTCTTAGGCGGGAGGAGGAGCCCAGACTCCTGCTGCACGTACTCCGGAGCAGGTAGCTCCCCAGACTCAAATTCTACCGGGCCAGCCAGCTGCGGCAGTTCAGCCGGGGGTAGTTGCACAGGCCGGTGATGGAGCGGCTATGTTCGCAGATGCTTTGTGGAGGCTGGACAGGTTCACCAAGCTCTTCACTGCTGCATTCAGCGGAGCTTCTTCTGAGGACCCCCAGGATTTCTTATATAGCTGCCACGAGGTTCTTCGGAACATGGGCATTGTGGAGTCCAATGGAGTTGATTTTGCGGCTTTTCGTCTATCTGGATCCGCCAAGACTTGGTGGAGGGATTTCTGTTTAGCCAGACCAGCAGGGTCGCCGTCCTTGACCTGGGATCAGTTTTCAGAGCTGTTCCTGGAGAAGTTTCTCCCTGTTACTCAGAGGGATGCTTATCGGAGGCAGTTTGAGCGCCTCCAGCAGGGGTCTATGACGGTCACTCAGTATGAGACCCGGTTTATCGATCTAGCTCGCCATGCCCTCGTCATACTCCCCACTGAGAGGGAGAGGGTGAGGAGATTTATTGATGGTTTGATCCAGCCTATTCGTCTTCAGATGGCCAGAGAGGCGGGGAGTGATATTACTTTTCAGGAGGCGGCCAATGTGGCCCGGAGGATCGAGATGGTTCTGCCACAGGGGGGTGGTCATAAAACAGACAAGAGGCCCCGTCACACAGGTCGGTTCAGTGGTGCCTCATCTGGGGGCAGGGATTCTTATGATAGGGGTCAGCCTTCCAGGCCTTTCCAGTCAGCCCTCCAGGTTTCTCAGGGTGCTCCAGGTGATCATGGTTCCCGTGGGCATTATTCAGATCAACAGTCACTCAGTGCACCGCCAGCTTCCATCAGTGCACCGCCACTTCAGAGTTTTCGTGGAGGTCGTTCGGGTCGCCAGGGCCGGCCACAGCGTTCGGAGGGATGTTATGAGTGCGGTGAGTATGGTCACATCAGGAGAGCTTGCCCGAGATTGAGAGGTACCCAGTCTCAGCAGCAGGGTCCCCGTCCTATGATTCAGGCACCAGATGCCCCACAGCCAGCCAGGGGTGGAGGCAGAGGTCATAGAGGTGGAGGTAGAGGTCATAGAGGTGGAGCTCAGACCGCCAGGGGTGGAGGTCAGCTAGAAGCAGATCGACCTAGGGATACAGCTCAGGGTGGTGGGGCCAGCCCCGTTGCTAT